GCTTCGCAGCCATGACATGCCCAAGATCATGTCRAATTTGGTGTCCAGAATGTCAAAGGACACCGCCTCACTTGCGTGAGGGGCAAAGTACACTGGGACGTTGTCAATGCACCGGTCGATTGACTTGTGCGTGTGACCGTCTGCCAACGTGACTTGCGTAGGCTGGGAGTTCCTCCGGATGCGTGGGCCAAGGATGACGCGCACCATGAAGTCTTGGATGATGTAGTTGCGAGATGCTCCGCAATCGATCAAGGCACTGCAGGTCGCCTCTCCAATCTGAATGCGTACGTATAGCAATGGTGCGTCGATGTCGTCGTACCGTTGCGTCTTGAACTCGCGATCGATCTTCGCGATGTAAGCGTGAAGGTCGACAACCTCTGCTCCTGCGTCCATCAACGAAGCTGGTACTGCAGTGTGCAAGTAATCCCGCAATTGTGCCATAAGCACGTTGCAATGCGGTTTCGGCAATCATCCGATCGAGGGAACGGGCATCCACTGGAAGTCCGTGAACGTCAATGGGTCGAGCTCTTCAAGTCTTGACCATGACGTTGAATCCCCGGCGATAGGTTGCGGCGAAGGTGCCGAATCGGTTGCCGATGGTGATGAAACCGTGCATGCGATGGATTGTTGCACGTGGAGCGGTTGGTCCAGCGGTGGAACCAAGTGGACAGCATAGTCCTCGTAAGTGTAACGAGAACTTGCGACAATCGCATTCTCTCCAGATGTGCAGGAGGCCGCTAGCAAGGCGGCCGAATCTGGCGGAGTAGAAGGTGGAGTCGCCTCACCTTCCGCGGAACTCAGTTTCCCGAGCTGAGGCGGGGTCGCACATCCTCCTTGCCTTGATCCTGGCACAGGGAGGTCTTGTGCTTGGTGCTGTTGCACCAATAGCAGCTGCCGTAGCGGCCGCGGACCTTGTACTCCACCTCGGTCAAGCCGAACTTGACCCATGGAACTTGTACTGGCTGTCCATTTCCGGCCTGCGATGCGGATTTCGCCTTCCCATTGTTGCGGGACTTGTTGTTGCTTCGCGGCTGGACAACAGCCACCTGATCTCCGTCACTTGATGCTGGAGTGGCTGCTGGGTTATCTCCACTGTCCGACAGGACTGCAGCGAAGTGCTGTTGTCGCGGACCAGTTCGTACCTTCTCCACATAGGTTGGCTGCCATGTTGACCTCTTGTGTGCAGCTGACCTGTTGGTCTTGATGATTTCCCTCGCCTTGTCAATGATCTCAGCGAAGGTTGCGTATTGCTCGCGATCACCAAGAGCCTGGCTCAATGCCGCACAGGACCTGTTGTAGAACTCACGGCGTAGATGCGTGAATGCCAATTCTAGATTGGGCACCGCGGCAATCTTCTGCCACTCCGTGAGCCAATCCCGTGTTGCAGTGTTGCCCTGTGACATGGTGAACAAACGGTTGATGGCGAGTGTCGGCGCGTCGTGGACGATGAACCGCTTCTTCCACAACCGTGTCAGTTCCTCCCATGTGATTTTGTCCTTCAAGTCCGGTACGTCGACGCCGTGAGAGGTTGCCAGGTGGCTCAACCAGGTCTGGCATCCGCCCTTTGAGTTCAGGAACAGGGCGCCGATGTACGCATGCTTGGCTACGGGCAGAATCCTGAGTTGCATTGTGAATGCTTCCCACCAGAGGACCGGATCCTGCTGCGTGTAGTCGTCGAATTTGTCCAGTTGGAAAGTTGGCATCTTGTACATCTTCGGATTGTCCTCCGCGTTCGTCGACTGCAACTGCTGGACCTCGGTCTTCAAGGTATGCAGCTGACTACTGATGGTGGTCGGCGCAGCGAAGGTGCTGATGTCGTCGAGCATTTCCACTACGTGGTCAACGCGTTCCTCCAGTTGGCGGTTAGAGGATGCACTGCTGGAAGCCCCAGCAGCTGGTCCTGGTACAGCCTGTTCCAGGTCCAGCAATCGGGCATTGAGTGCCCGAGTTGCATCCTCGTGGCTCTGCACTGTATGGCGGAGCTTTGCCAACTCCTGATGCTGTTGCGTCAGGTTATGGTACTGCTTCTCCAACTCGGACCGTTGGTAGTTGCAAGCACACAACAACTGTGTCACGAGTTTGGAGAGGAACTCCCTATGCTTCTCTTCCGGTGTTGCCTCGTCGCCGTTCGGTTTAAAGTGCCAAAACTTGAGTCTCTCGATGCTGTTGGCTTCATGCCGCAGCAGCAGATCCTGGGCTTCCTTGCGGCGAGCCTGGGCATCTGCGTCTGCTTCGGCCTGTAGCCGCAGCTTCTCTGCTGTTGCCGCTTCTTCAGCCTGTAGCTGGGCAGCCTTGACTGCGAGCTGGCATTGTTCCTCGGCCTCGATTGCAACGAGCTGAGCCTCGATTGCAACGAGCTGAGCCTGGAAGCGCTTTTTGTAGTCGGCAATGGGCTCATTGGCCAGTTGGCCTGGCAGGCCCGTCATGTTGCTGACGTGGCACTGCTGACGTGGCACTGATGATGTGGCACTGCTTACGTGGCACTGTGTGTGACGTGGCACTGCTTACGTGTCACTGTAGCTGACGTGTCACTGTACCAACCCTAAAATGCATGCAAAGGGTGGGTGGGAGGGAAAACGCAGGTAGGAAACCAACCCAACAATACTTTCCTCCGGTCCTAATCAACAGATAAAATAAAAAAATAAAAGAGGACCACTTCCTTTTTTTTTTTTTTTGTATATATCTGTTGATCTATGATGAGTAGGATATGTCAGAAGAGTATTATGAACGAGATCTAGGCTAGGTTCCGCAAAGTTTCGGCTTTTACAAACTGCGATCTTG